TTTACTTATGAAATTCTAAAGCAGATTTCCCCTAGGTAAAAAACTAGGTTTCTTTTTGAGATAGTTGAGTTAGTTACTTAAATACCATGCTGAAGTTAAATTTGATGTGATTTTACATATGCAGTTTTTCGTTGCCTTTTTTTTTTTTTTTGGTATTTTCAAGAAAGCAATGACATGATATCACTATGTCCATTAATTTTTACGTTTGACAAACATTTTCTGTGCTTTAAGCACAGATCTAGGTTCTGGAGTCTCAAAGACAGATCAGGGTGACACCTAAACAGTAGGCGCTCCCTGTTTTGTGCAGCAACAGCATGTGAAAAGATCAGTGTGACGGGCCAGGCCTGAACCAAGGGAGGACAAGAGCTGGGGAAGCACCAGGAGCACTTCTGGGGGGTGATGCTGAACTGAGTTCTGAGGGTTATAAGTGGACCGGGAAAAGTCCGGGCAGAGGGGCGGTCTGTTAGAAAAGGTGCAGATGTGATGGGCCTGGGGTTGCCCTGCATGGCTGGAGTGTGGGTGGCAGGCAGGAGGGGAGGAGGCCTGGAGGTCCTCAGCAGAGAGCCAGTGGTCACGGACATGTGGCCAGGTGGTGTGATGACCTTCTCTGGCAGAGTGGGGGGAGCCTAAGGGCGCTAAGGCTGGAGGCTGATTCAGCCGCTCAAGTGAGAGACGGTGAAGGCCTCCGGAAGGGCCAGGAGCATGGCAAGGAGTGGTCAGTTCAGAGACACTTCTCGTGCAGACATGTGGCCAGGTGGTGTGATGACTTTCTCTGGCAGAGTGGGGGGAGCCCAAGGGGGCTAAGGCTGGAGGCTGATTCAGCCACTCAAGTGAGAGACGGTTAAGGCCTCCGGAAGGGCCAGGAGCATGGCAAGGAGTGGTCAGTTCAGAGACACTTCTCGTGGAGCCCCCGGTGTGTGGGTCCACTGTGGTCACAGTGCTGGGAGGTAGGACTGGAGAGCTGCTTCTGCTTTGGGCACCCGAGTGAGAAGGTGATTCCACCGAGTGGTGCAGCAGTTTGGTTAGGCATGGAGGTTGTGGCCGGAGCGGAGGAGATCAGACTCTACAGGGTAGTGTTGAGAGGCCTGTGGACACCCAGTGCTCAGAAGCGGAGCAGCTTCCTGGCAGGACAGAGGGACTCAGAGTGGGGAACGAGGACACAGGTGCTGACGCCCTCAGCACCACGCAGGAGCCACTGGGCCACCCCCACCCCCTGCCCGGCTACATGCAGTCTGTCCTTTTGTCACATATCTACACGCAGGCACACGCACCTCAGCCCTGTGTGCCGTGAAATTGGCGTGTGGCACATTTGGAAACCCCTGAAACTTTCATTTCTTCCCATCCTCTAACCTCTTCACACAGACAAGTTTTCACATAGGATTCAGGGAACGGAACCCTTGTGCAGTCCGGCCTGAAATCCCCAGGCAGCCTGAACTAGTATTCCCTGTTCTAGACAGATAAGGGGACCACAGGCAGACCTCTGCAGGCAGAGAAAGGAGAGAGCAGCCATGCTCGGGGCTAAAGTGAGGCCAGCAGGAAGGGAGGTCGGGTTGAACGGGGTCACGAACAGGTCCCCGTGAGTCGATGATGCACGTTTACTTATCGAGCAAGATCTCAGCTTCCAAAGCCTGCATCCCAAGCACACGATACATCTCTGTGTAGCGATCACATGGCGTCATCTCGAGATGCTCAGAGTGCACTTGATCTGTGTTTTCCCTAATTCCCCACTCCCTACCCGATCTGCCCCGGCCCGGTCTCAGAGTGCCTACCGCGTCTTCACCAGTAGCACCTGCCTAAAGCACATGATTCTGAAAGTCCGACGGGACGCTCGCAATTTTGAACGGTACCAGCACAATCGGGACTTGGTGAACTTCATCAACATGTTCGCAGATACTCGGCTGGAACTGCCCCGGGGCTGGGAGATCAAGACCGATCAGCAGGGGAAGGTGAGTGTGACCACCCTGTGCGGCTGGCATCAAACGCTTGCTTGCTCAGCTTCACCAAGGAGGAGGCTGGCAGAAAGTGAGGAGGAGGGTGGTGGGGAGGGCGGGCCATCTGCAACTTCCAGCTGTGCTATTGGCCGCTGGGAGGGTGGAGGCGTGGCTGTCCACATCAGGCCTTCTGCACCTCAGCACTGTTGCTGGGGGAGCTGGCAGGGACATGTCCTGTGCATTGTAGAGTGATCAGTGGCATCCCTGGCCTCTGCCCACTAGGTGCCAGTGGCACTCCCCCAAGTCGTGACATTGCTATATGTCCTCTGGGGGCCAAAATCATGCCCAGTTGAGGACCAGTGTCCATATCTTTTTCAATTTAGGTTTGAAACACGAAACCGGACACTGTTCAATCAACTTTCTATTGCTCTGTGTGCTTAGACAGCTAACTCTCGGGATAAAATTATTGGTTAAATGCAGGTGACATTATTAGATCACCTGCTGTGATTTCCCTGATAAGTCTTCAGTTCTCCTTAAAATATCCTGACCAACGGATGGAGTGTGCTGCTCCCATGTGATGTTCCTGGACTGGGTTTTGCCTCTGCGTGACCTTAGCACAAGCTGGTCCTTCTCAGCAGTGCTTTAGAAGCCTAGCTGAGTCTGCTAAAGTGACAGTGTTTTTTCTCAATCATCATCCATCATCCCAAAGTAGTTATAGGAAGGCCAACCAATTTACTAAACGACCATCCCTGTGTAGTCTTTTATGAGCTTTGCTGGAGAGAACCCCCCGTGTTATAGTCTTCACCAGCACACATGTCTGAGTGGGCAGCTGCGTTGCATGGCCCCTTTCCTCTGTGACCGTGGACCTGCAGAGCGCTAGTTCCCCAAAGGGAGATGTGGATGTCCTTTTCCTCTCAGAGCCATGAATCCCTCTCCCACAAACCCCTTAGTGTGCTGAGAACCTGGACACTCTGGAGTGCACGGAGAAGGAACGTGTCCACTAATGCAAGTTGGTTAGTGAAGTGAATCTCTAGGACTGCTGCTCTGTAGCAAAGTATATTGAAGGGAGCAGGGAGGGACATGCATTATGTGGTAAGAAAGCCACCACAGCCAGAGTCTGCTCCCTGGGACCTACCTTCTCATTGACTGAACATGGCCTCCACTGGGAGGATGACCGTTGTTTGTGCTAAGGACTTACTGATATGTATTAAGGTGGGAAATAAGGCCTGTGCCAGAACAGAGAGTGAAGGGACATCTTATCAGAGCCAGGTGTACCTGCCTCACCAGTAGTCTCCAGGGGCCACATTTGCATTTATTGCTTAACCAGCACACCGGAGGACACTGCTATAAATCAGTGAATGGAAAGCAGCGTTTATGTGCACATAGCATGAGTGATGCAGATGGTCTGCTCGGTCTTGGATTTCCACAAGTGCAGTTCCTGCACCAGGATGTGGCCAGCAGGGAGCCCGGTGGAATGAAAGGAGGCCTCAAGATGCCACCACCTCTGCCCCTCTGTGGTACGCACAACAGATGATGCGGCCGCCTCCATCTGGTGGTCAGCACACCAACAGAGAAGCACAATGCTTGACATACAAGTGGAATGAAAGGAGGCCTCAAGATGCCACCACCTCTGCCCCTCTGTGGTACGCACAACAGACGATGCGGCCGCCTCCATCTGGTGGTCAGCACACCAACAGAGAAGCACAATGCTTGACATACACACCGAGAGTTTTATTCTGTTTTGCAATGCGTATTAGGGAATTTCTGGTGAGAGATTTTTCCCCCCTAATTCTGTTTAGTGAGATAGTATAAAAAAGAAAGAAAATCTGAATTTAAAATAAGAAGACTTGAGTTTTACTTTCAGCTATGATACAAACTATCCTTGTGACCATACGTACACACACACACACACACACACACACACACACACACACACACACACCCCTAGTTGGCAGACAGAATTTCTAAGAGGAATACCAAACTGCTGGGGAAAAGTGTGTCATCACCATCCACGTGGTGTCAGAGAGCAACAGTGGAAGAGGTAGGGTGAGAGGGCACATGTCATGTCATTTCAGACAGGTTACATGTCATTTTAGACAGGTTACCCTGGGCAAGGTATGGAGCCTCTCGAGCCTCCCCAAGCTTATCATAAGATAGCAGCAATAATGCCTGCCTTGTGCTGGTGATTTTACGTCCAGATGTAAAGAGTAAATAAGTTAACGCAGGCGTCCATGGCCATGTCATGGGAGATCAGTGGTATTCGTCACTCTTTGTCTTAATGTCCACACAAAAATCCAAGATCAGACTGGCAAATGCAGGAAATAAGAGAAAATCTCATTGCCAAAGTCACTTGATGATGGGAATAGATGGAGAAGAACATTTTGGGGCTCTATCCTACATGCCCAACCACCCTGTGACCTGGAAAGAACGTACTGCCGAGGAGACTGGGAGTTAGGAACGCAGCTCATTGAAAGATAGGGTGACAATAGCTTACTTCGCAAAGCCAACTTCATAGCTGATCAGAGCAGGTTCCACGTACCAAGAAGATCTTCTCACGCCTCACCCTGGCGGTCTGCTTCTTATTTATCGACACCTTCAGAGATGACAGCTTCACTCCTATTATGCACTGCGGTTGGAGGCAGAAGGGCCGGGCAGACCTGCCTGAGACGTGTAAGTGCGTAGTCATCCCCCAAAGGGAGACGCCAACGAGCCAGAGCTGCACCACCGCAGGAGCGGAGCAAAGAACACGGCGTCTGGTGCGTCTGTCATCTGGAAAGTCTAAGAATGGAGGGACACGGCCTGCATGTGGCCTTGCAGCTGGCTCCAGGTTGTGAGCAAGGGGACGGTCACCATGCAGAGGGTGGGGCCACAGGCCCATGGTGCTATCTCGTGGAGGAATGAGTGAAATAACAAAATGAGAAGCACCTATGAAGAGGCACCGCCACATGAAGGAGACAATCTTGATCCGAGGAAAAGCATGCCTTTTTCTCAGAAAGTATGATTTCCTTCAGAAAACAGAAAGAAATTTTTAAAAGATATATGTTTATCTTTCACAAAATGGTACAGGAGCACACAACTTCTATTAAGGGAGTGGAAGAAGCCAAAAACAGAAAACGAGCCGAGGAGGCAGACCTTAGGAAGGAGGCTGACAACGGAAGGGTTAAGACCACAGGGCAGAGCCTCAGGGGGAAGCAGGGAGAGAAAAAGCAGAGCTGCGCTGCGTGCAGCAGAGCCACCAACACAGCATCCCAGCACCCAAATGGCACCGCAGCAGAAGAAAGGAAGGAAAGGGCAAAAACTAGGCGAAACCTCCCCCAAAAGAAAAACCCTATCTTTTCTCTGAGGCCTTCCCCAACCACCAATCTCATCTCGCCCCCTTCCCTAGATCCCTAACACACGATCTAGTCTACGTTTGTTAGGTTTACTATTTATTATCTGTTTCTCCTGGTGGGATTTCAGGCTGCTTAAAAGTGGGAATCTTGGGCCGAGCCCGTTGCAAAGCCAACTTCATAGCTGATCAGAGCAGGTTCCACGTACCAAGATGATCTTCTCACGCCTCACCCTGGCGGTCTGCTTCTTATTTATCGACACCTTCAGAGATGACAGCTTCACTCCTATTATGCACTGCGGTTGGAGGCAGAAGGGCCGGGCAGACCTGCCTGAGACGTGTAAGTGCGTAGTCATCCCCCAAAGGGAGACGCCAACGAGCCAGAGCTGCACCACCGCAGGAGCGGAGCAAAGAACACGGCGTCTGGTGCGTCTGTCATCTGGAAAGTCTAAGAATGGAGGGACACGGCCTGCATGTGGCCTTGCAGCTGGCTCCAGGTTGTGAGCAAGGGGACGGTCACCATGCAGAGGGTGGGGCCACAGGCCCATGGTGCTATCTCGTGGAGGAATGAGTGAAATAACAAAATGAGAAGCACCTATGAAGAGGCACCGCCACATGAAGGAGACAATCTTGATCCGAGGAAAAGCATGCCTTTTTCTCAGAAAGTATGATTTCCTTCAGAAAACAGAAAGAAATTTTTAAAAGATATATGTTTATCTTTCACAAAATGGTACAGGAGCACACAACTTCTATTAAGGGAGTGGAAGAAGCCAAAAACAGAAAACGAGCCGAGGAGGCAGACCTTAGGAAGGAGGCTGACAACGGAAGGGTTAAGACCACAGGGCAGAGCCTCAGGGGGAAGCAGGGAGAGAAAAAGCAGAGCTGCGCTGCGTGCAGCAGAGCCACCAACACAGCATCCCAGCACCCAAATGGCACCGCAGCAGAAGAAAGGAAGGAAAGGGCAAAAACTAGGCGAAACCTCCCCCAAAAGAAAAACCCTATCTTTTCTCTGAGGCCTTCCCCAACCACCAATCTCATCTCGCCCCCTTCCCTAGATCCCTAACACACGATCTAGTCTACGTTTGTTAGGTTTACTATTTATTATCTGTTTCTCCTGGTGGGATTTCAGGCTGCTTAAAAGTGGGAATCTTGGGCCGAGCCCGTGGCGCACTCGGGAGAGTGCAGTGCTGGGAGTGCAGCAGCGCTCCCGCCGCGGGTTCGGATCCTATATAGGGATGACCGGTGCGCTCAATGGCTGAGCGCGGTGTGGCTGGTCTCAAAAAGGACAAAAAGAAAAAAGTGGGAATCTGTTTTGCTCATTGATGAAAATCCAAGGGCCAACAGCAGTGCCTCGCACAGAGCTGGCACTCAGTAAATCTCTGTTGGATGAATAACTTATGGAGGTTCCTGAAGAAGAAACCAGAATGGGTACAGCAGCAATGGTTAAATATTAAATCTTAATACTCATTAAATAAAATAAATATTAAAAGTAAAACTTTGCTGATTTAAAATAAATTATTCAGGTGGACATATTAATTGGGCTTATTGAATTATAATCAAAGTAAATAAAATAAATTCTGTATCTACACATGTTCTGGAATATCTTCAAAAAGAGATATTTAAAATCCTGTTAAGGGCCAGCCCCGTGGCTCACTCGGGAGAGTGCAGCACTGGGAGCGCACCAGCG